AGGAGACGAAGCCAACTCCAATCAGTCGTTAAACTGAAACGAGCCAGCAGGAAGGGCCGCGTGCTGGCTCCAGAAGTTGAAGGGCCCATAATCTCCGCCTCACAAATTGGCCGGAAAGCATGCAACCTCACTGTTGGTGGATGTGTGAATGGGCAGGAGGGAGTACTGACAGTGGATACTGGAGCGACACATTCCATTATTCGACCGGATTTGGCCACTTTTTATGTGAAGCCACTGCCTGGAGCAAAGCTGCAGACTGCACCTGGTGAACGCACCCAAGTGTTAGGAGAAGTACCATGCGAGGTAGTAATCGACGGTGTGGCTGCGTACACCAAGTTTATAGTGGCAGACATTGTGGATGAAGTCATCATCGGCGTGGATTTATTACTTGGCCAAGGCATGAAGATCGACCTCCAGAGAATGATCCTGGCAGATCGTCACAGGAAAGTGCCACTTAGGGTTGGTTACGACAGCCAGTACTACAGCAGACGGTTAGTCTTAGAGGAAGTGTCGAAGATTCCACCAGAAACGGAAGCGGTTAGTTGGGCGGAGGTCGGCAGTGATGGAGACGGAGTGGTTTCGTCAGGAGAAGGAAGCGGTTCACCGATACAGGAAAAGCGTGACGGTTCCGCCAGCTCAGTGAATAAGAGGTCGCAACAAGGAAGTGCTCACGGCAAGCCAGGCAGTGTTTCCGGCAGGAGGAAAGCCGCTAAACCACGTTGAAATGGTGATACGCCGGTGGCCGGAAATGGAAGCGGCTGTGGGAGCAATAGGCGCGCTTTGAAGTGTCCCCAGAAAGGTGGTCGACAAAGGCGAGCAGTTAAGCCGGAAGCCAAGGATGAGGTTATACATGTCCGGTCAATGAGGTTGACGCCGGCGAAAGAGCGAGATGCGGAAACACCGGGCAAGTTTCAGCGTGAGGAACGGGATTTAGCAAGATGTGCTAAAGGCAGTGCAGCACGAAGGCAGGAGCCTGGGTGTCATGGACAGAGGATGGGGCATAGATCTGGCAAAAAGGGTGCCCACGAGAGGAGACATGGTCTGGTCACCACCAGTGGCCGGCAGAAGTACGACCATGTGAGATGGTGCACCACCGGAGATAAGCTGGAAGCAATGTCCAGTAACGCATCGAGCCGAGAGGAGCTACAGGAAGGCGATTTGGTGTTGTTGCANCGACGGTGTGGCTGCGTACACCAAGTTTATAGTGGCAGACATTGTGGATGAAGTCATCATCGGCGTGGATTTCTTACTTGGCCAAGGCATGAAGATTGACCTCCAGAGAATGATCCTGACAGATCGTCACAGGAAAGTGCCACTTAGGGTTGGTTACGACAGCCAGTACTACAGCAGACGGTTAGTCTTAGAGGAAGTGTCGAAGATTCCACCAGAAACGGAAGCGGTTAGTTGGGCGGAGGTCGGCAGTGATGGAGACGGAGTGGTTTCGTCAGGAGAAGGAAGCGGTTCACCGATACAGGAAAAGCGTGACGGTTCCGCCAGCTCAGTGAATAAGAGGTCGCAACAAGGAAGTGCTCACGGCAAGCCAGGCAGTGTTTCCGGCAGGAGGAAAGCCGCTAAACCACGTTGAAATGGTGATACGCCGGTGGCCGGAAATGGAAGCGGCTGTGGGAGCAATAGGCGCGCTTTGAAGTGTCCCCAGAAAGGTGGTCGACAAAGGCGAGCAGTTAAGCCGGAAGCCAAGGATGAGGTTATACATGTCCGGTCAATGAGGTTGACGCCGGCGAAAGAGCGAGATGCGGAAACACCGGGCAAGTTTCAGCGTGAGGAACGGGATTTAGCAAGATGTGCTAAAGGCAGTGCAGCACGAAGGCAGGAGCCTGGGTGTCATGGACAGAGGATGGGGCATAGATCTGGCAAAAAGGGTGCCCACGAGAGGCGACATGGTCTGGTCACCACCAGTGGCCGGCAGAAGTACGACCATGTGAGATGGTGCACCACCGGAGATAAGCTGGAAGCAATGTCCAGTAACGCATCGAGCCGAGAGGAGCTACAGGAAGGCGATTTGGTGTTGTTGCACATACCGCAGCCGAAAAAAGGCTTCACCCCCGAACAACATCGAAACTGGAAAGGTCCGTATAGGATTGACAAACGGCTGAAGGACGCAGTGCATCGAATCCAGACAGCTGGGAGACCGAGAACCAAGATGAAAGACTAGCAGCGTTTGGAGCAGTAAGTGTGTCTGATCGGGACGATCAGACTTAGGTGGAGGCCAGTGTGGCGAATACTGCGGCAACGCGAAGCGAACAACGAGAAATAGGCAGAATGTTCGAGGAATGAAGTAGAATGTTCCACAAAGAGAAACGTCAAGCTGGATGAAAACTGCGAATAGCGAGAGAAAGAGAATGAGCGATGAACTTCAGAACATACTAGAGTTGCCATGAGTGCGAGCCCAGGTATATAAGAGCCACCACACAGCGGAGTGAGTTAGTTACAAGTCAGCAAGCTGCAGGTAAAGTGAGTTGCGAATAAGCAAGCTATAAGTTTAATTGTGTTAACAAGTTTTGCAAAGCATTGTAATTGCTTTAACGAGTATTGTAAAGTGTTTTTACGGTATAAGCAAGTATTGTAAATTTTTTGTTATACAATAAAGTTAATTGTACTACAATTTGGTCATCGTGAGCATTTATTTAACAATCCAGCGATACGAGCCGTAGGATATTTGGGAAATCCCTCAGGGTTTCGAGGATAATCGGAACACTATTTTAGTCAAAAATACATCACGTTTTATTTCAAATATGTGTAACCCTGCTATTTACCGTTTGACAATTTGCGTTGAAGTTTGTGCATTTTTCTGCATCTTTGAGTTTATTTAAACTATTAAAAAATTTAAGTGCGCTGTTTTTGAATACAAAAATTACGCTGAAAAGGGTAATTTTAAGTTTTACCTTAAAATAATAAACATGGAAAAATAATAATTAAAGATCCAAACAGCCACGAAAAAGATATTAGCTATTAATTTTATAAGAAAGCTTAGTCTAAATGTAATTTCAAGAACTATTTAAATGTTTTACTTCATACAGAGTTGCATGAAACAACCTTGTGGTCAAATTCCGTGTTTATATGCACTCTTAACACGATTCAGCAACTCTTAACTCGCATTCAAAATGTGATTTATGGTGGCACGGTTAAAAGTTTCGATTTAAGAATGTGTTTGCATATGTGTGTCCAAATAACACGGTTTGAATTAGAACGAATTGAAGCATCATATAAACATGGTATATATTTTCTGCGTTTTGTGTACTCTCCCTCTTCGTAAAATATTTCAGCCAATCAGAACTCACTTCGCAACTACGTCATTGGAGGAAAACAAATTTTTGACAGCACCATGTCGTAACCTTCTATTCTATGAACCTTGTAAGCAATCAACCATTACAAATTTTTTTTAATCAACGTAGTATGTATTGAAGTAGGTATAAAGACTTGCACAATGCACTTAATCTATATATATTTATATGTAATAATAATATGAATATTTGTATATGTAATACTCATTATAAAATATTCGTTAATTCGTAAAATTTCTGATAAATTCATACATATGTATTTTTTGTGAACCTATACTCTCGAAATCACTCATTTGACCATAAAATTTTCTGAATATTTACAGGGTTACCAAACTCAGTAATTTCAAAAGATTATTTATTGGGGACAACACAGTGTTTTTTTACTTCCATAATAAATTTGGGAAGGAAATTTTAATACTTACAAATCTCCTCCGCCTACAACCAGTCGCGTACCACCAGTGGTAGGCGTACAACAGTTTGAAAGTATTTATATAGACCATCCAAAAAGACTTCATAAATATATGAGCCATTTATTTTAAAAGAGGCCTAAGTCCACTTCGTATGACTACAATGATTATTCCCCTGTATCTGAATGCGTATGTTGTACGTTACACTTCATCAGCTAAAGGTAAGAAGTTTGCGCCTTAGTTTATGAAGGTATAAGGATTTACAGATGCGTTCACTTAGAAAAAAAACAACCATTTAAGCACAAGAGGAAGAAATTACACTAAGGGAAATAACTCGTAGGAAAAATTAATATTTTGTATTCGATTATCGCTTAACAATTTTTGTATTTAAATATAGAAAAAATGGTAGAATCAAATAATAACGTATTTAAATCAAATGAAAAGTGGTCAAAAGGAGTGTATGTATGTATAATGGAAATATTAAATTCAAATACACCCATATTACAATTAAGTATTTTGCACTTCACGGATGGCGTTTTGCAATTCACGGATGCTTTTTCATAATTAAAAAAGTTTATGTCTACCAAGCACCCGGAAGGAAAGATTGGTCCAATTGCTTAAAAATACAATTGTAGGTCTAATAGTTTTGTATCTAGACCAAAGATAGTCCCAAATTTAAAGCTATGTAATGAAAAACGCATAAATTGTACTACAAGTGGTCCGAATGTAATGTTACAATGTCATGCAGAAGCGGAAAACGAATAAAATACACCATTTTCTGATATGTAGGTACTTAGTCTACGAATTTTCATGTGCGGCGTTGGCATGTAGAGAGAGCATCGGCTTAAAAGATCTGCGAACCCCGGTTCGAATCGCAGCTGGGCGAAGTTTTATTTTTTATTAATTTTTTTTAATCTAAAATTGGTTATTTTGTAATGCAGAAGCGGGCAAATGAACCGAGCTTAGGACATTCAAAGTTAAATGTAAATAGAATTTTACATGTGCTTGGACCACACTTTGGACTACTTACAATCACCAGCAGACTAGTTTGTGGTGTGATCTAAGTCTATTCCGAGATCCTACAGGGCATGCACAGCGGCGACAGCACATACACACATACATAGTATTCGATCCGTTGTATACTGCCTAGCATGGTGCATTTTTAGCAAATAGCATGGTTTGATAATTTTATTGCTGTTTCATGTGCTCAAGCAACAACAAAATTATCCAATCATGCTATTTAAGCTACCTACGCACCATGCTAGACAGTAGATATGCAATGGATCGAGAATACCCCTACGTTTATTTGTACAAATTCACTAATCGTGTGCTGTGGTGTTGATTCAAGCTCAACATTTGAAAACGCATTTACGTTTACGGCTGTACCTAAGTGTCCAAATTGGTTGCTGCCAAGAATGTCTGGGTTCAATTCCCATCAGACGGTATATACAATTTTAGATTTTTTTTTCTTAATTACGAAAAAGCTAGTGTGAAGTGCACAACGACACATATTGAAATGTGCATACTGTGCATTACGAGTTGGGTTGGTGCTCTTTCATATGCGCATTTTTCTAATTTTAGCACGTTTTTTTAATTCTAAAATTATTTTCCTTCAGTGTACTTAAGCCACTTTCAAAATGAACAGTTCATATGTACAAAATTTATTTTAAGATTAGCACTTAAATCTTCTTATATGTATTAAATGCTTGATTATGTAGTAGTAAATTTAATAATAATACCAGTTTAACCGAAACCATCGCTGTGACGCTTTTGTTTCCTCCTTGGCCGCGGGCAGCGACCTATTTGTTCATTATAGATGCCGAAGGAGCAATTGGGCACGCTGCAAATCCTGCCCGCAATACATCTAAAAAGAAATGAAAATATAATAAACTACCCCTGCAGCTGATATTCATAGTGATTAAAGAAGTAAGCACACATGGCCATCAAAAAGGCCCTAACTGAAAAATTTGAAATTTTACAGGGGAAGTGAGGAAGTTTTTAAATTAACAAAGCAAATGGCAAGCAGGTGGATCTGAGAGCAAGCTTTGAGATTACAGAATAAAAAATAAAATAAATTGCAAAAAGTTTCAAATGGGGCCTTTTGCATTGGTGGTGACGAAATAAAAAATATCTGTTGATTGAAGATATAGCACATATGTATGTATTAGGGATGTCGCGAATGTGGAATTTTGAATTTTGGTGGGTAAATTAAGTGATTTAGGTAAATAAAAAATGGAAAGGTTTATAATTTTTAATAATCTGCCTTATCCTGAGTCTTACCCTAAAAAAAAACCACCCGAAAATTTGTATTCTGCCCGTAGTAAATATGTACATGAAAACCAAAAGTGAAAAGTGAACCGGTTCGGGGAAAACTAACCTCATGATAAGACTGAATATTTTTTAGTACTTGAATTTAAAAATTGGAAAATTGTACTTAATAAAAACTTATATAACTACCCGCTCGAGGCGACAAACTTGAAACTTGGCCAAATTGTAAATTCTTTTCGATTGACACTGCACCAGTTGAGAGGACTTTCAGTTATATTTATTTATTTTTATTGCGGTGCAATAATTACTTTTTGAGAATTTCATTGGGGGTGCGAATGTCGGATGTATCCTCCCGACTTTCATCTTCACAATCTAGCATAATGGCACAATCGTTATTTAAACAACGTGTTTTCCTAAGAATTCTTCATTCTCATTCTTTTGGTTGTTTCAGAATTTGGAGCACTTGTCACGTCATCAGCGTTTTTCGATTTTAGTTTTTGTAACTCCTTTTTAATGCTTTCTTCTGTGACTGGTTAGATATATGTACGTCTGTGCACTTGCACAATATTCCAGGGACCGAAAATAACAGTTATTTTTTCACAGTTAAATTTGGCCTAATATTTTTTATTCCGAAATAAACGTCCTATCCAGATAATAAACAAACCGCTTATCCAAATTAAACAAATTTGGTATCGCATGAAAGAGGACTGAAATAGTCTTTAAACAGAAATAACGAATGAAGGTTTCGACCTCTATTTATATTTTTTTATAACTTAATACTAAAGAAATTCATGTAAATACGTACCTGACCCAATGATTGTTTTGTGGTAATTAATTAAAATTTTTTATTGAAATATTTTTCAATGTGTGGCTTTCCTCGTTTAGACATTTCAGTTTTAAAGCTATTTCAGTCCTCTTTCATTGGATACCAAACTTGTTTAATTTGGATAAGCGGTTTGTTTATTATCCGGAAAGTACATTTATTTCGGAATAAAAAATATTTGGCCAAGTTTAACTCGTAAAAAAAATAACTGTAATTTTCGGTCCCTTCAATATTCGCATTCGCAAAAGATCCGCATTGATTTTTGCGAATGCGAATGTTAAAATTAATGCGGAAGCTCCGCGGTTGCGAATGCGAATGCGAATATTCGCAACAACCCTGGTATGTATGTATCAGTGCATGCACGATTATGTTAGTATCAGAGACCGTACCGGTTATGCATTTTATACTATAAAGGAAAAAATGTAAGTTATTTTTTTACTTTTATTAATTTGACCAAATAATACCAGTTAATTTTGCTTTTTAGTTTTTTAAGGTAAAAATAAAAGTTAAAATTTGCACTTCATTTTTTTGAGCAGAAAATAATTGGTAATTCTTGCCTTTTATTTTTTCAGGGAAAAATAAAAGTCAAGATTATAAATCAATTGTTCCAGAGTTGTGTATACTCGAATTTAATAGTTTTAAAGCTTTTATCTGGATTCCTATAACCCCCTAATACACAATTACCAGTGTTAGATCAAATGTATATATGTACATATGTATGTACATTTGGGTGGTCCAAAAATGCATGTGGAAAAAGTAAAGTCGGAATTTTTATGCTCTCACCCCCTAGGATTGTTCTATACCGAAAAAAATATACCCCTATTTTTTAGTTTGAAATAAAAGAAATATTTAGAGGTCGGTCAAAGCGCCCAAAGTTTTCCATGTATTTTATATGGGGGATAAAACTTTTCGTAGAAATGGTATAGAATTCTTAAAAATCAATATTTTATCTGCAGGAGATTCCCAATAATAATACCCAATTGTTTATTTAACCATTTTTTCATCGCAACTATAATTTATAGGTCCGCCAAAATCCCACAAATACCCCGAAAAATGCAATGGGGCGACCAATAAAAAATCGTTAGTATTAAAAAATGGTTAAATAAATAATGGGATATTATTATTGAAAGTCTCCTGAAGAGAACCAGAGTTTTCCAATCGAAAAATATTGATTTTCAAGAATTCTATACCATTTCTACGAAAAATTTTATTTTTCCCATATAAAAATACATGCAAAACTTTGAGCGCTTTGAGGGACCTCTAAATATTTTTTAATTTCAAAATAAAAAAATAGGGGTAAACTTTTTTTTCGATATAGAACAATCCTAGGGGGTGAGAGCATTACAATTCCGACTTTACTGTTTTTGGACCACCCTACTGCACATATGTATACACGCAATACATGAAGGCATTTTTTATCAACGGCATCATATCAGCACCGATTATTCGATTTTCAAAACTGAGGTTTAAAATTAAAGGGCTTGGCCCCTAAATGTACAACAAGTTATGACATTTTTTGAAAAGGGTTGCCACCGTTTTTAAAATTATAAAATTGCACCGCTCGTATTAAAAAAAGTGAGGTATAAGATGAAAAGGCAGGGCCTCTAGAAGTGCAGAGAAGTGAAGCTTTAATTTTTTTTTAAACTTACACTGTTCCCGCAATTTTAAAAAATTATATAATATGTCATATAAAGGGGCTTGGTCTAAGATCTACAAGGAAGAACGTCTTATTGTTTTTAAAGGGTTGCCACCTGATAAAAATTACTCTTTTATGCAGAGTACCAGATTTACACCGTTCTCTCGATTCCAAAATGAGGTTCCACTTAGAGATGTGCTTTGTGTTTAATTTTTTTAAAAGGTTTGCCGTCTAATTATAAATCTCTTGTTTGACATATGATACTTAGTAAAATATCACAATATAGGCATCAAGCGAAAGGGTTTTTATACGATATTAATATGTTCGAGCATTTAAGAGTTGCAACCTATAAAAAAAATTTATAGTTATGAACGGTAAGTAACGTATTCAGGGCATTCGATATTGGTATCAAACGACGGCTAGTTAAATGGCTTTTGTGTAAATGTATGCGAATTTTCGAGAGTTGTTATCTAGTTAACAACTCATAACTAGCTTTCGATTGATTAATGATACATTACTTACCATTCATAGTTATAAATGTGTATAATAAGTAGCAACTCTATTACAAACACCAACATATTAATTTAATCCCAAACCCCTTTCGCTTCTGATATTTTACTGACTATAATATTTTAAACAATGCATTTTTAATTAGGCGGCGACCCTTTAAAACAAACCAAAGCACGTCTATGGGTCAATCCCTTTCATTTGACACCTCATTTTGAAACTCGAGAGAACGGATGCTCTGCACGAATAAAAAAATTTGTAACAGGTGGCAACTTTAAAAAAAATAAGAGGTTCTTTCTAGCAGATCGACAGACCAAGCCCGTTTATATGGCATATTATATCATTTTTATTAAATTGCGAGAACGGTGTAAGTCTTATGATTTTTTTAACAGGTGGCAAACCTATTAAAAAAAATTAAACGTTCTTGCACGTCTAGAGGCCCAGCCCTCTCATTTGACATGTAATTTTTTTCTAATACAACGAACGATGCAGGTTTTACAATTTTAAACAAGTAATTTTTGAGCAAAAAACTAAACCGACTTCAATTCTCATATAAATATTTTAGATTATCGTTAATTTTTGCATGATCCAGCTATTGGATCTAGACAAAATTAGTACTGGACCCCCCTTGTGGTACCACCTTCGCGATGAAAAAAGAATTATCGAAATCGGTTAACGTGGTCCAAAGTTATGTGGTAACATACATAAAAAAAATAAAAAATATTCCGCTGAACTGGTGACCTCCTCCATTTTTGAAGTCGGTTAAAAAGGGGTCAACACTTTCCAAAAAAGTCATAGTCATTAGAGGCCAAGCCCTTTAATTTGAGCCACAGTTTTGAAAATCGAATAATCGGTGCAGATCTGATGCCGTTAACATACATATATTGTACTTATATATAGTACATACATATTTAGATTTATATCTAACCCTCGTATTTGTGTATTAGGGGGTTATTAGAATCCCGATAGGAGCTTCAAAACTATCACACTCGAATATACACATCTCTGGAATACTTGATTTGTAACTTTGACTTTTATTTTTGCCTGAAAAAATAAAAGGCAAATTTTAACTTTTATTTTTGCTTAAAAAATAAAAAGCAGAATCAATCGGTATTATTTGCTCAAAATGATAAAAGTCAGATTTTTAAGTCATGGAGGAATCACAATCTATTATGAGAGATGACTCAAATGCTACCTTTGAAAAAACTATAGCATAATTTTTTCACTATGCCTTTTTAATGTCAAAAATTGTAAAATAACTTTTATTTTCAGTCTCTGGTTAGTATCGTACGAGTACGTTATTAACTAACACTTCTGACCAGTGGTTTCCAACCGAGTTCGCACCGAGGGCTACTTTGAAACCATTGCCATGCTTTCCAGGCACCGCCTAAATTAACTTCTATTTTAATTGATCCCTACAAAAGCCTTTATTTATTAATAGAATTTATACAGCTAGCTAAAATGAAGAACAAAAAGAACAATTTCCTTTTAATTGATATAGCAGTGTTTTCATTATGATTCATAAATCGATTTTTTGGAAAACGATAACACTGGTTCCATAGAGAACATTTCGTCACCTACAATGCAAAAATCTGAAACTAACATTGTTATTTGAAATAGGCTGTAACTA